GTATCATTAATATAAAAAGCTTCTCGCTTTGAAATCCCACTATTTGCATCATACTAGAATTACTTACTTAGTTTTTATCTAATTGCAACAATAATTTCATTTTGAGAAAGCTATTACTGAGATCTTATTGTTATTTCATTTAATTTAATATATTTTAGTGTGATATGAATTCATTTTAATTAATCAATCAATAAATAGTTAAGTATAAAGCTGAATGAAAAAATAAATAGAAAAATGAAAATTAAATATGCCAACATTTTGATATTAAAAAGTCAAAAAAAGTAAAGATTGAATAATAAATTAATTTTTTTAACTTATTATAATATTAAAATAATAGCTATATTATTTATGTCTAAATTCTAATTAAAAAATTAAATGGATATACATGGAAAAAAAATCATTCAGTATCTATCTTAAAAAAGTATCCTTATTCAGACACCCAGGATTTAGTTTTTTAGATCTTAGAACTTAAAATTTTTCTGTGATTTTGAAGTTAAGATTTAGAAACCACTAATAAATGTTATCTAAGTTTATTAATAAATATTTTTAATCTCTTATTTTTTAGGTCGATTTTTGCAAATAATTTTATAACTTTTTTGTAAATATTGAATTTGATGAAATCTTATTCAAAATTATGTATAAATAATTTAAAATTAGGATAAAGTACTTATTAAAATAAACTTCTAATATATTCTTGATGAAGGAATAACAAATTTTAATACAAAGAAGAACAATTATAGTCTAAAGTGATATTGATGAAAACTAATTGTTTTCTTGTTCTGCAACATATTTAGCTGCAGCAAGAAAAATTGATATAGAACAAATTTATGCTGAAAATAAATCCTTGCTATTGAAATTAGAGAGAATATAAGGTTTTTTGTTAAAAGCTATTAACTAATAAAATAGTAAACATAATCCTAATAGTGATGCTTTTAGCAAAATATAAGTTTCAAAATATGTTAATATTAGATTTATAATTGTTTTCTTAATTAATTTTATTTCTTCCCAAAAATAGCTTCTTACATTATATTCATTAATTAAATAACAAAAATGTTTTCTTATATTAATGTTATCATGTTAATGTTTTTAATATACATGACAATAAAAAGGGAAAGAGGAATCATCAAACTAAATATTCCTATTCCAGGAATAACAAAAGAGAACATCCATATTTGATGCTCTTTAGATCCAAATAGGAGAGAGAAATCACCTTAAATGTAACTCGAACTTGAAACATCTCTTTTAGATAGAATGGAAAAATACCTACATAATTTTAATAAAAATTACATTTTAACCAATCCACAATAATTCCAATTATTATAAGTATAAATTATGAGATCATCAATATAAGCATTGCAATTATTCTATAGTAAATCAATTATATTGTTTGATTTTCTGATAAATAACAATCTAAATTATTAGTCATGGAGTAAGAAGTGTTACTGGCAGAATCAACAAATCCAATTGAAAAAGAAAATTGTATATTGAATGTAAAAATAGAAGAAAAAATCCATAAATAATTTAATAACATTTTTATTAAAAAACTTTCATGCCCTTTAAATAAATATTTTATTTACCTTATTCTAAGTTAAAAATAATTTTACTAAATCTATGTGATAATTTGAAGCATTTAAATAATTAATTTGACTATTCAATACTTCTTAAGGTTATAATAATCAGTATAAAAAACCTAAATATTATATTAAACTACCAAATTGATGCTGCTATAAATGGAATTATGCTATCCTAAACATCAAAACAAGATATACATTATGAATCCTATTAATTTTTAAAATATTTTCCATCTCCTCTTATATTATAAATATCACATTCTTCGCATAATGCTCCAACATGTCCTAAATGACATATTTAATTTCCTTATCCCCAATCACCTTTACAAAACTTTAAATTTTTAAAGCATTCTTTTATTTCAT